AGAGATTGCTCTGCAGAGTTCTCTCAGGTTTTATTGTCTCAGAAAATAAAATCTCTTCTGGCATCAAAACTCCAAGACTCTGAGAAAGATTCTTCACAACAACGGCAGAAGCCACCACAGTGGCCACAAACACCCTGTGATTCCATGATGCCCCCCATCCGAAAAGGGAAGCATCGGTCGTGACCACCTCCCGACGAGAAGGAATGACCCCTAGGGGAACACCTGACATCAGAAACTCCCGATGATTCCACGGTGTCAATGCCTGGATACAACTGCGCGAGACAACAACCAGCCGATGGAGATGTCTGGCAGGGTTCAACTGCAAACTGTTATTCCACCACTGGAGAGGCCTGAGGTGAAGCAAGCCAACTGGAATTACAGAAGTGGCGGCAGTCAGCATCCCCAAGATGCTGACTGAAAACATCTTGTGTGGCAAACTTACACCCAGCTGAAAACAGGCAAGGAGCAGCAGAATACTGTCCACTTGGGCATGTAAGAGGGCGGCAGACATTACACGAGAGTCCAGTGTCATTCAAATATAAGTAATCGTTTACACTGGATTCAGACAACTCTTTGCCTCGTTTACTGCAAGACCTAGCATCTGCACATGCTCCAAAAGCAGTCTGGTGTCACTGGCAGCTTGTTGTTTTGTGCACACAGCAGCCAGTCGTCTAAGTAAGGCAGGATTCACATCCCTCTGGACCACAGCGGATGTAGAGCTGCAGTCATGCACCTCGTGAAGACACGAGGGGCCAAAGACATGAACATGAACATGAAAGTAAGCATCTTTCAAATCTATGCTTGTGAACCAATCTTCCTTTGTGACTGACCAAAGAACATCGGCTGCACGTAACATCTGAAAGGGAAGAGTTTTCAGGAACACGTTTAGATGTCTCAAGTCTAGAACTGGACAAAAACCACCATCCTTCTTCGAAATGAGGAAGTAAGTTGAATAAAAACCATCCCTTTGAATGCAGGGATGAACCTTTTCTATGGCTCCCTTCTATAGCAGCGAACAAATTTCTTGAGAGAGGGTTTCTGAACGAACTGCATCCCTTATCACTGTAGGGATAATCCTTGAAAACTTTGGGGGCTGGTGTCGAAACTGCAGAGTACACCCCTTGCTCAATGTAGTCCAAACCCATGGATCTATAGCCATCTCCCTCCAGTACTGCAGGTGTAGACTCGAAAAATGATCGACCACCGGCCCAGTGACTTCAAGCTTTTTGGGTGTGACTGACGTGGACCCCCTGACAACTGCTGCTGATGAGGTTGAAACCTCGAGTGTCCTTATTAGCACGGGCCTCTGTAACCCCTGAGGTTGTGGTGTAGAATGCTGGCGGAATCGTTGCTCTGGTCTCGCAAAACGATGACGAGTCTGAATGCCCAGTACCTTAAAAACAGGATTGCGCTGAGCCTGAGTCAATCGATGAGTGGCCTCAGACAACTTTAACCTTTTTTCCAGAAGCTCTGGGACATAAGGTCCAAACAGGTGACCAGGAACAATTGGGAGGTCTCTTAGTGTCTTTTTACAATCCTCCGGAAGTTTCGCCTGGGCAAGCCACACTTGCCGGCGAGCTGCCAGAAGCGTGGCTGTAAGAGTACCCAGTTCATGGGTAACATGGCCCATAGCCAAAAGAGCAGTTTGAAGGAATTGTGAAACTGAGGGGTCCACATTTGCTGATTTGAGTGTGCAAGTTGTGGCATTTGGGTGCAGTAGACCCTGTCAGCGAGTTTGAATATTCTGCAACAAAATCCTTGCATGGTGGCATAGCAAAGTTAGACCCAGCTGAAGGCTGTCTAAAAAAGACGTTGGACTGGGCTGGCTGCACTGGCGAGTTATCCAGCCCTAAACGAGCAACCGCCATGGAGGTCGGAGTTAGCCCCGAGTGAATCGAATCACCGCTAGAACCCCCTGCAGCTAAAAAAAACTGCATTCTCCTGGGGGAAAGATTGTGCAGCAACATCTACCGCATTTAAATGATCCTGGAAAAATGAGTCAGACGCACTTGTAGAGAGCACGTCAAAGTCAGCGTGAGATGGAGGAGAAGAGGAACTAAAAGGTTCGTCATCCATTTTTTTACTGGGACCTTCCTCATCTTCTTGTGTAATAGCTACAGGTGAGGCAGGTATAACAGGCTGGAGTGTCTGAAGAAGGCATTTTATCTCCGACATCTCAGACAACAGGACAGCAACCGTCTTAGAAAGAGAAGCTTCATCTACCTTCTCGTTCCGGGACGTTGCCTTCTTAGATGGGGGAGCACCGGCAGTCGCAGCTCTGCACCACGTTTCCGATTTGGTGGGTTGCGGGCGGCTCTGTTCCCCCGAGTCTTACTGTGGATTTGGGGTCCAATTCGGAGAGACGGAGCCATCTCTCTGACATGGGTAAAAGGCTACAGTGTAAACATGAGCCCGTGAGAGCCACTCTCAAATGCTGAATTCCCAAGCAGGACGGACAATCATCGTGGCTGTCGTCAGGTAGAAGAGCATTAGGGCACAGCTTACATGTTAATGGGAATCCAGTAACGATAGAACCGTGAGCCATGACCACTGCAATAATGGACAACTGGCCGTCAGATCGCACCAAAGAATACAAAGTATCAAGAAAACTGTCTGGAAAATAGCAGGAAAACAATCGGCCTATCAGCGTATAAAAACACTAGCCACCGTATAGAACTGCGAAGCGAAGTGTTTCACAAAATCCTTTTAAGTGATAAGGTTAGCAGGGAATTGCCAACATATAAGCGTGGCAAAACACTAGCCTCCGGATAGCACCAAGAAGCACAAGGTGTTTCACAGAAATCGTATATAAAAGTGATAAAAAGCGGGGGACCGTCACTATACTAACACAGGAAAATACTAGCCTAGAAAATACTGGCACGAGGTGTTTCACTGAATCTGTATAGGATAAAAAGATAACGGGGAACCGTCAGTGTACCAGCTTGGAAAAAAAAAAAACACTAGCCACCGAATAGCACAGAGAAGCACAAAGTGTTGTACAAATTTATGTAAGAAGAAAAAAACTGAGCGGGGAACTGTCAGCAAATTGATCTCTAACACTATCCACCTGATAGTACCGAGAAGCACTAAGTGTTATCAATATATCAAACAAATATATCCAACAAAACAAAAAAAACTCACCGAAACTCCTTAAGAGCGCGCTGTCACAACTTGCGAGGATGATAATTGTCTGCTCTTGTAAGCTGCACTTGACAGCACTTGAAATCGATTGAAGAACGACCTATCACAGACGAGAGAAAGCGAAGGAGACGTGACGTTTTTGGTCATTAAATTATTATTTTCAGCGTATATTTGGCTTAAAAGCATGAGTGTTTTATAATGAATGCCGGTGTTCTGTTGATTTGTGCTACCGTCAGATTTTACTACCTCCCATTAAAACAGTGGGTAGTACAATTCGACAACGAAAAATGCTACCTGTAAAATTATGGTTTATTAACGTCTACACCCCAACCCTAAACCTACCCTTACAGTAATGCAAATACAGTAATTATGTGTTATATTCGCGGTTGTGGCTAGAAGGGATACAGCTATACAGGAAACCAACAATAAATATTTTTTTCTACCTATTAGATTGTGTTTTATTAAAGACATTAAATATTGTTGTTCAGCGTGTGAAAAAGGACGCAATATTGATGTGCGCATGCGCAGTAAACCCTGGTAGGACAATCTGATGGGTAGGATAAAATGTCAGGACACCGGCTGAAGGTGTTTTAGTTTATGCGCTGGTCAGTGGTTTAGTTATTCTGAATGGATCCGTATAGTAGCATGTAAAGTCAGGTTAAGGCAGCAGGTTTAGTGGTCTTTTGGCGTCTCCATGTGGTCCTGTTTGGTATCGCAGCTTAACTGGTGCTTATTTATATTAAAAATGCTCTAAACAATTCTTTCTTTTTTCTTTCTTTCTTTCTTTCTCGCTTTCTGCATTATATACATACATTGGGAATTATGAAATTGTATTTATTTATGTATTTACTGATTACAATAGTAACAGTAACTAAGGTTTTTTTTTAGCTTAAGGGATTTGTTGCAACCACTGATCTATATATAGAAATATTATAGATCAGTGGTTGCAACCTGCCCCAGTTCCTTAATGACATCATCCAGGAAGCGACATCATTTTGGTAGGTAAACAACAGCATAAACATCAGCAAGTATTTGCAAAGGATTTTGTGACATAGATGTATGCATGGTTTGTTTCACTCTAAATCTAAATCTGGTATACCCTTTATAGAACCATTTCTTACAACAAGCATTCATTTATTCAAGGTTTTTCAACATATACACAGTTAACAACAAGAATGACACATTATATCTCATAATGAAGATCATTTTTAATAAAAGTAAAACAAGCATCGCATTATGTTTCCATCCGTTTGTGCCTCTACATTTTGTGCCTCAACGCACATACTGAAAGCCAAGGGGTCTCCTTAAAACATCCAGTGGCGTGTAGTAAAATAATAGGGAATTGACGTAAATCCAAGTTTCGTTTCTCAGTTTCATTCCTGTGCTGACTTTAGGTCTCGCTTTCTCAGAAAACGCGTGCTTGCCTGGTGGCTGTGCCCTGAGTTTCACAACCCCCCCGACCAGAGTGTATCAGCGTGAAAGACTTCGACATAAGGTCAGTGATGGACCAGAGATTCCTTTGTCTTTTAAGATAGTAATCAATGCTTCGTAGATTATTATGAACGGCTTTTATCTAATTATCAAACTTAATTTAATAATATTCCAGTGTTTCGTTAAGTTTCTGTTTTCACATCAGTTCCTATTCTGTAAAGAGCGTGACAGTAAAGGGAGGACTGCACTTGCCGAGAACAGCCATTCACTAAAGTGGCGCGGCTTAGCGTACGCATTAGAAAATGATTGGCTGTCATCGCTGGTGTATTTGCATATGGTAATTACAGCATTCCGATTGGCCTACAGTGCCAATGTGGGCTGTAACCTGCGTCAGTATTTCATGTTTTACCATTATGAGGTCACTGAAGAGAATATAAGTCTTACGCATACACAGTTTAGTCTACTTGTATCTTGTATCTACTTAGCCTGAGATATACTGCTTTTGTGCATTGACCCAACTTCTATGTTGAAAGGTAATTTTCTGCTATGTTATCTAGCGTTTTATCTAATTTCGTTCTTTTTGCTAATGTTATCCCATGTAAGACATTTTTTTCTCTGTTTACAATGGAATGAAACCTGAGCATAAGACACAGCATACAATTTTCCATTTTTTACATACAGCTTAAAAAAAAAAGAATGGATTAAGTATCAATTGCATAGAATAAAAGCATTTGAAAATCTCTAAAATTATATTTTGCTCTGCTATAAGGTGAAGTCACACTACACTTTTCGTTCTATTGATTTCAATTCTTAAGCCTGCGAATGCGGGCGAGCGAAAACAAGCTCATGCGAAAAAGTTCGCTGCGTTCAAAAAGTCGAAGATTGGTGAACTCTAATTCAAGGATTTGATGACCTTTTTAAGAGTAACAGTCTAAAGTCTAAAACTCTTTAAATACAAGTCTAATGTGACCGTGGTCAGTGATTTAAAAGATGAGCACAGCACCAATACTCTTAATATTATTTCATTAACTAATTTTTATTAATATATTGCAATTTAATTTTTTTTATTATCACGAAAGTCTCATATTATTAAATATATTTGTGTGTTTTTATAACACATTTTATTATTATTATTATTATTGGCTTAATGCCTAATGTTAACAAAATTGCTCATGAAACAAGGAGCTAGGAGACAAATGTCAACAGGATGTTGCACGTAACCACTCTTACACTATTTCATATGTGCGTGTGATTTTATATCTTCAGATGACACTCTGGAACCAGCTGCAGCTGCTGGACTCTCTGTATTTAGAGCAAGTGGACCAGCTTTATGATGAGGCTTTTCCTATGGAGATCCGACAATATCTCAGTCAATGGATTGAGAGTCATGACTGGTGAGGATTTTTTTTATTTTATTTATTGTTTAATTTTTTTTTTAATTATTTCATTTAATAATGTATTATCCAGTTGCACATTTGAATTTATGCATCATGAATTGCTGCAAAGCATCACATCTTTGACACATTATTGTTGGTTGCAGGGAATCCATCGCGAGTAATGTATCTTTGGCAACCCTGCGCTTCCATGAACTCCTGAACCAACTGGATGAGCACTACAGCCGTCTCAACCTAGGGAACAACTTCCTTTTACAGCATAATATACGCAAAATTAAGCGTAACCTACAGGTGCAATTTTTTATATTGTTTTTCTAACTATGTTACATTCAATATACATTAAAGGGGTCATATGATGCGATTTCGATTTTTCCTTTCTCTTTGGAGTGTTACAAGCTCTTGGTGCATAAAGAAGATCTGTAAAGTTGCAAAGACTAAAGTCTCAAATCCAAAGAGATATTATTTATAAAAGTTAAGAGTCAACCACGCCTACCTAAAACGGCTCGTTCTAACACGTGAAGCGGAGTCCAGCCCGGGGTCGCCACATGTGGTTGCCGCAAGCCCGCACGCCGCTCCTTCGTCAAATCCGCCGGCCACGCCGTTCTCAAGCCCGCCGGGCTCCGCTCACTCTAGCCGCCGTGTGTGATGCAATGGAGGACCGTTTCCTGAACCTGCAGAGTAGCCTACAATGCGTCTCTGCTCAAAGATGTTGTTTGTCATTTCTCTGATCACAAATGCAGACATGGTTTTATGTTTACGTGGTGCGATGCAACGCGTAAAAAGACAGTATAAATCATTATAATCCGTAATTATGTCCCCACTGGATGCATCAAATGCCTCGTTTGTAATGAGTTTTAGTGTTTTTGTCTCATCGCTCCGGTCGGACACGGCATCACAGTATGGTAGGGGCGTAACATTTCCGTCACATGATTTCATTATTCTAAAATAAAATGGCAGAGCTAATGGAAATAATCATCTCCCATTAGGAGCACTTCCAGGAGGATCCTGTTCACATGGCTATGATCATAGCTAGCACTCTGAATGAAGAGAGAAAGATACTGGAAACTGCACTTAATGCTCAAGTAAGGCTTTAGTCTTGCATTACAACTGTCATTTCAAACCTGCACATGTGTTTATCATTCATCTTAGTAATTTTGCTTTTAGGATAAAGGTGGCTCATCACAGGGGAGTATCATGATGGAACAGCAAAATGAGTTGGGCAATAAAGTCAACAATTTGAAAACGAGTGTGCAGGTAAACCATCTCAGTGAATAATGATAAGGTTTTGGAGCTCATATTGAATCCTTTTGGGTCTTTACCACAAAACGCTTTAAATGACACAGATTTCTTTAAACCTTACAAGTAACTACAATGTTTCAAACAGCTGCAATTGTGGAATCCGCATAAACACATTTCATTTCATTACACCAAATACACCAAATAATGTTATTTTTAGCAACATAATATGACCCCTTTAATATCCTATCCTTGATTTCATTATTCTAAAATAAAATGGCAGAGCTAATGGAAATAATCGTCTCCCATTAGGAGCACTTCCAGGAGGATCCTGTTCACATGGCTATGATCATAGCTAGCACTCTGAATGAAGAGAGAAAGATACTGGAAACTGCACTTAATACTCAAGTAAGGCTTTAGTCTTGCATTACAACTGTCATTTCAAACCTGCACATGTGTTTATCATTCATCTTAGTAATTTTGCTTTTAGGATAAAGGTGGCTCATCACAGGGGAGTATCATGATGGAACAGCAAAATGAGTTGGGCAATAAAGTCAACAATTTGAAAACGAGTGTGCAGGTAAACCATCTCAGTGAATAATGATAAGGTTTTGGAGCTCATATTGAATCCTTTTGGGTCTTTACCACAAAACGCTTTAAATGACACAGATTTCTTTAAACCTTACAAGTAACTACAATGTTTCAAACAGCTGCAATTGTGGAATATTTATTTGCTTCTAGGAAATTGAACAGGACATTCAGGTTCTGGAGGATGCGCAAGATGAATATGACTTCAAGAGAAATACTTTGCAGAGTCGAGGTAACATACATTTTTAGCATTTTGCTCCTGGTATTAACTCATATTTTGTGATATCTGTACTTGGTTTGATCAATATTGTGGTTTTTACAGAGTCATATGTGAACATAAATGGTGTGAATTTACATGAATGAGAAATGGTATGGATTTGTATTTTTATATTTTCAGTGGAAGCTGAAATGAATGGCCAGATAACAAAAGCGATCCAGCAGGAGGAAATGGCACTTAGACAAATGTTTGTTGGGCTGAGCATGAAAAGAGAGGTAGGTCAAGATTTCAGTAATTATGAATATTCTTTGGATATTCACATCTAGGAATGGGCTTAAAGTCAGCATGAAACAGAAGTTTTGTGATTTTCTTTTCTGTTGTGACAATTAATCGAAGCCTCCAAGGTTAACACAAAAAAAGTGTAACAAGATTTTTTTTTAATGGCTGTCAACGAAAGAGTGGCTTCACTATGTTGAATAAACTGCTTTGTGGCAGAACAGCTTATCAAACAGCTAATCTTCAACATGTTTGGCATGTAACATTAATTTTGGATTGATCTGTTTTTAGAACTTACACCAATAAAAAGTGAGAAGTCGCATAAAAAAATTTGCGACAGGTAGGATTCAGTTCATGGTATTTCTCAATAATTTCTGTGGTGTGTGCAAAAACCGACTGACTGTCGCACAACTTTGATGACTTCAAGGCTGTAATGTGATTGGTTATCAAGTTGTTGTTATGCTTTCTCCAATGGTAGATCCGCGGACTTTGATATCTCTCAATAATAAGACCATCTCTGGCTTCTCAAACAAGAACAGTTGTAGAGTGGCACTTGATTTTGTCCATCGGTAATTGATTGGATTGTTTGATCGTTCATTTTGCGTGTAATCAGAGAAAAGAGATGTCATTATAAGAGGGAGGGGAAGTTATTTTGATTAAAGATTACATGGGCACATGCATATAAAAAAATGTCAGCGTTGATTTCAAGGTGACTTTAATGTTGCAGTTTTTTTCAGTATCATATTTTTTCTTAAATATAGCATATATATGTGTGCAGGTGGTGATAAAAGAAATCGCTAATGCACTGACTCTAGCAGAGCAGATCCAGCTCTCACTCGTATCAGAAGAGTTACCGGAATGGAAGAAAAGACAGCAGATGGCTTGTATCGGAGGGCCACCCAATGCCTGTTTGGACCAACTGCAGAGCTGGTGAGAACCTCTAGGGGGCGCTTCAAAATGACTTATAATGCAGCTGGAAACAAAATAATGACAAAAAAATATATATAAAATAAATATTTTATAATTGACATATCTATAATTTTATACTATTAGAAAGAAAATCCTTGAAATTATTAGTTGTTCCTGAGGATCATTAAAGGGTTAGTTCAGCCAAAAATGAAAATTAGGCTGCGTTTTACTCACCCCCGAACACCTAGGATGCATCGGGGTGAGTGAAACACGGCCTAATTTTTATTTTTGGGTGAACTAACCCTTTAATAAAAGTATTTCCATATCCAATGTGCAGTAGTCTCAAGCTGGAGCTGATGAGCTCATCTTGTGTTTGTTTTGGTGCTATCCATGGTACTGATACATTATTTTTATAATGAGCTAATACATGAATTGCGCTCCAGGTTCACAGCAGTGGCAGAGTGTCTGCAGCAGGTCCGTCAGCAGCTGAAGAAAATTCAGGAATTGGTGCAGAAATTCACCTACAACAACGACCCCCTCACTCTGGGCAAGAGCCAGCTAGATGAGCAGGCCCTTTCACTCTTCAAAAACCTTATATTAAAGTGAGACACAACACCTTAACCGTTCATACCTTTCTGTGTCTCTATACGTAGAGCACAAGCTGTAGAAAAAAAATGGTTATTGATGGGAGGATTTGTGGGCTTATAGATTCACAGGGGAATTTGAATATATGATGTGGTGTGCGTCACTTCTGAAAGATTCTAGTCTTGAACAGGATGGCAGTGGTTGTGATGTGTCTTTCAGTTCTCTTGTGGTGGAGAGACAGCCTTGTATGCCCACACATCCTCAGAGACCCTTGGTGATAAAAACAGGAGTTCAATTCACAGTCAAGATCAGGTGGGTTTCTTTGAAGTTACGTCTGTGACACTGTGATGTCACTTATTTTAATTGATGGTAAATATCTGAGAAAAGCCTTTCATTTCAGTGATGCCGATGTGTATCTAAAATCGAATGTCTTATTATTTTGTAGATCACTAGTCAAACTCCCTGAACTGAATTGTCAACTCAAAGTAAAAGTCTCTATTGACAAGTAAGAAAAATCTCTTGTCTATCTATCTACTTGTCTGTCAGTCTATCTTATCTGTGTATTCATACAGTATATTTGTTTTTCCCCTGTAGAGATTTAACAGAGAAAGACACGATAAAAGGGTATGTAACATATTACAAAGAAATGTGATGTTTTGAATGAGGCAATGTATTTAGATACATAGCAAGTAAGTTCCTACAACATTTAATATTCTTGTGGTCCAATCAACAACCACAAAAACGTCTGCATTTGACAAAAGTCCAAACCTGCAATCATATTACTGTACAGTAACACATCGACCATTATAATAATCTGAAGATAATAAGCTTGAAATGCATAATGAAAACCCTAATTATTAAATTATTCTGTTTCGAAGGAAATCTTTTAACAATTTATTATTTATCAAGGAACATCATTAGCATTTTTATGCATGCCGCCAAAGCTCAAATAATCCAAATGTCTGTTTTCTGGTGTCCTAGATGTAGGAAATTCAACATTTTAGGAACGTTTTCTAAAGTTCTGAACTTAGAGGAATCCAGTGGATGTCTAGCGGCTGAATTTCGTCATTTGGTAAGATGTGAAAAACAAACAGATATTACTGCAAATATAATGTCTAATTATACATTTATTGTTGATCTTTCTTTCCCTCTGATTACCACAGCAATTGAAAGAGATGAAATGTAGCAACAGAACCAATGAGGTAGGATAAAATACACATACAGTGATGTCAAATAAAATGAACTGTAGGAATTGCTGATGTTTTTCGTTCTTTACAGACCCCTCTTATCATTTCTGAAGAGCTGCACATACTTAACTTTGAAACTCAACTCATTCAGCCAGAACTGTGTGTTGATTTATCGGTAAAGTACTCTGAAATGTAACTACTGTACCAATTGTGACATATCAACTGTAATTCTGACCGCACCTGTTTTATTGTAATTAAACAGATCACATCACTTCCTGTTGTGGTGATCTCCCATGTGAATCAGTTACCTAGTGCCTGGGGCTCCATCTTATGGTACAACATGCTCTGCAGTGAACCCCACGTATGGCCATTTCCCATCATCAATGTTTTTGTCCTCTGTTGAGGTTTCCATTCTGACTCTCGCTGTCCATCTGTCCATCTCACTCTCAGAATCTGACGTTCTTCTTGAATCCTCCACCAGTGAAATGGGAGCAGCTTTCAAAGGTTTTAAGCTGGCAGTTTTCTTCTGTCACTAAACGAGCGCTGAACTCTGAGCAGCTGAGAACGCTGGCCGACAAACTTCTCGGTGAGTTTATTTGTGTTTCCTTTTACCTTTTGAAATGGGACTGAGTAGATGCTCATAGTTCCAATATATAGCACACTTTTTTTTTTTTTTTTTGTATCTGTTTTTTAGGTCATGAAGCCCAAGGTGACCCTGAAGGACTCATCAACTGGAATACATTTTGTAAGGTAAGTTTATGGAAAAGGTTTAAACAAAGACAGGAAAGTCGCTTTCGCTTTCTTTAACCAACATGGCTTTTGTTTGTTCCTCTGCTGTCATCACATGATTTACTGCTAAAACAAAACTTAATGAGACTGTGGAAGGACCTGATCTCACAAAGAACAGCTGGGCTTTCAGAACTCGACACTAACTGAATATATTTAATATAATTTTTATTCTAAAAGGAAGTGCAATAAATATTGTCACAACATTGACAAAGCAATGCCACGCCAGTGCGTTAGCTAATGGAAGTAGAGTACATACTTGTGTGTTTTTTCACCTAGATGTCTCCTAATGAGAGGGGTCTACCGTTCTGGCTGTGGATAGATGGAATTCTGGACCTTATTAAAAGACACCTGCTCAACATCTGGAATGATGGGTAAGAGTTCCATCATTACAGACAAATACTGTACCATCTAGAGCTGGAATGATCTGTCTGCTATATATTAGAATATGTTCCATTTTAGATGTGCACAATCAGCCAGTGTTTATTATTATTATTGTCGATTTTTTTTAAATCCTAGAATTTTTTGTTTTATTTTGAGATTAACAGATTAACAAATTAAAATTTTAAAGTCAACATGAAATCAACATTCACCCCATATTTTTCATAATACATATTTCTGGTCTTAATGGGTATGATTCAAAGAAAAAAATGTGTTTGTAATCTTTAATCAAAGTGTAACTCTGCCTCTGCTTGCTCCGCTTTGATATATAACTCCCACTTTACACAATCCAAGCAATTCCAAATAGATAAAATCAAGTACTTTTTTTTTTCTTTTGAAAATCTGATTTCACACAAAAATTTGTAAGATGCTGCTTCAAGTCAACTAACCCGAAACAAAGTGATAATATGTCAAAACCTCCATTCTCTTAAGCTACATTCCAATTTATATTACTGTGCTGCCATGCACATAGGCATTTTTATCCAGTCCAATTTTATCCAATTTTTATTTGCTTTTTTTGTTTTATCACATATATAGGTATATTATAGGGTTTTTGAGTAAAGATCGAGAGAGGGCTTTGTTGAGTGGCAAACTCCCGGGCACTTTCCTTTTGCGCTTCAGTGAAACCTGTCGAGACGGAGGAATCACCATCACATGGGTGGAGTATTCACAGAACGGTGTGTGCTGGTTTGAATTGGAGTATTTTATCATTTATTGTTTATAAAAACAGTATCTGTATGGCAGTCTTTTAATGTACGTGAATGAATGTCATCAAATACAGGTGAACCTAAGACGCATTCAGTGAAGCCCTACACTAAAACAGATCTGGCGTCTATTTCCTTGCCTAACGTCATCCGCAACTACACCCTCACTGCTGCAGAGAAGATTCCGGTGAACCCCCTCATCTACCTTTACCCAGACATCCCAAAAGATGACGCCTTTGGTCGCTACTATACCAGCTCGTCTGATGGTAAATATTCTTTATTTAACCATTCATTTATTCAAAAAAAGAGGGTAAGACAAGAGTGAAAAACTGACTGAAACAACAGATGTCAACAGTGCCAGCCCTACCTAATAAGCAATATATGCGGCTGCATAGGGCCCCCGTGGCCACCAGGGGCCCTGTGTCAGGAGTTCAGACAGCAATCACGGGAGTAAGGCGAGATTATGGTGGAGATGGCAACAGCAGAGCTGAGCTGGAGCGTTCTCTGAAGCTGAACTTCCATAGGAATTAATTTAAACCTTCGTGGACACGCACTGTAAGTGTCTGACAAATCTTATAGAATGCAATGCGCGCTCAACACCTCCGGTCCAGATCGCGAAATCGAAAGCGAAACTAAAAAGGATGCGTGCGCGCATTCAAACGCAATTTCAATACCAGCAGTTTGAGAGCGGCTGCGGCTCCCTGATGCATGCAAATTAGGCTGCATACAATATCTAGGCTGTAATTAGTATGTTGCTTAAATCTGTTTCAACATGTGTTTACACTTATATTTGATAATTTTGGCATTTTAATCTGGACTATCATGCCAGCCCAGAAAATGAATTATTCTTCTATAATTATTATTATTATTATACTGTTATCTAATGCAATTTTCATAACCAGGTGTAAACTTTAAGCATTAATCTCACTGAATTTTGATAAATTTCTCTTAAGCAATCGTTAAACTCTTTTAATTTTTAAATTTTAAACTCTTTAGTTTTAAGTTTGCTTAAATGGGTTGTTGACATGACATTGCATTTTCAGTGTCACACAATATAAAAAATGTAAATAATTAATATTGTCATCATTTAAAATGTCTTTGTCTTACATGGACCCATTGTTATAAAAACTGCTCCTTCGTGGACACGCACTGTAAGTGTCTGACAAATCTTATAGAATGCAATGCGCGCTCAGCACCTCCGGTCCAGATCGCGAAATCGAAAGCGAAACTAAAAAGGATGCGTGCGCGCATTCAAACGCAATTTCAATACCAGCTGTTTGAGAGCGGCTGCGGCTCCCTGATGCATGCAAATTAGGCTGCATACAATATCTAGGCTGTAATTAGTATGCACACTATAATAGGATGTGTAGCTATAACCACCCATTGTTATAAAAACTGCTTTGTTATTAGATTTATTTTATTTTATTTTTTTACACTTTTTGAGCTAAATCTCAAAATTGTCCTATGGTGTGACTGTCTCAAGGATGTTCAATAAATTACAACTTTTATAAATTAAAAAAAAACAATTGTTATTAAATACCTCAGGCATAATTTTACAAGTGTCTATTTTAGTGATTGGCAATCATTTTTTCATCCGTATATTTCTAAAAGCATATGAACTTGATACATTATGTCACTGAAAATGGTGTGTGACACCATATCCTGTTTTTAAACTCCATGGACAACTTTAATTAGTTGAAGGACCAGGAATAGTGTTTTACAAAAAAAACGTTTTTTACTGGATATTTGTCAGCTACCCAAATATATTTTTCTATCTATTTCTTGAAAGATAAATATATTGAGTAAAACAAATTGGTAAATCTTTACAATTAGGTGTCAGTGTAAGATGTGTACATTGGGATGGGATGCGGGTGGTTAGGTGAAACTGTAGGTATGGGGGCCCCTTTTGAAAATCTGCTTAGGGCCCCCAAAACGCTAGGGTGTCAATAACCCTGGATGTCAATAACCTGCTACAAAAGACTATGATGCACATCTTACGGGTACAACATCACCATATCACAAAATAAATACACTGTATGTATTTTAATATTTTATAGAATGTTTTCTTCTAAACGTATATATTCTTACAGTATATAGTGGCCCCAAATACTATAGTCACATTTAAAAATGTTAATGTCATTGCATTAATTAACAAAATGTTGAACCAAGTGCCAAAATTCCAAATTCCAAATTCATTTACATTTTTTTCAAGCAAAATGGTTGTAAAACAACAAATTTCTATTTTGTCATGGTAGAAAACAATACTTTGCTGTTGTAAAACGTTAGTGGAACTTGTTCAAAAACTTTTAACAATATGTTAGAGACCATGTGTATTGTCAGTATCGACATACCTTACATTATTAATCTTTTGTCCCTCAAATACAGAAGAGATGGAGATAGACAAACCTATCAAGCCATATTTAGACAGACGCATCATTTCTGTGTCAGATGAGTAAGTAAATACTTTTCTTTTTTCTACTTTATTTTTTATATGTATTTCTGTTACTGAAAAACAATAGAATGTTTTCTTCTAAACGTATATATTCTTACAGTATATAGTGGCCCCAAATACTATAGTCACATTTAAAAATGTTAATGTCATTGCATTAAATAACAAAATGTTGAACCAAGTGCCATTCATTTACATTTTTTTCAAGCAAAATGGTTGTAAAACACAACAAATTTCTATTTTGTCATGGTAGAAAACAATACTTTGCTGTTGTAAAACGTTAGTGGAACTTGTTCAAAAACTTTTAACAATATGTTAGAGACCATGTGTATTGTCAGTATCGACATACCTTACATTATTAATCTTTTGTCCCTCAAATACAGAAGAGATGGAGATAGACAAACCTATCAAGCCATATTTAGACAGACGCATCATTTCTGTGTCAGATGAGTAAGTAAATACTTTTCTTTTTTCTACTTTATTTTTTATATGTATTTCTGTTACTGAAAAACAATATTCATGTCTTATTTATCTCTGTTTTTAGACCTTTTTCAAGACCCCGTAAGTGTTAGAGCACATCAAGGCAAAACTGATATGAGGAATGTTTCTCCACCAATGCATCTAAATTTAATCCAGAGCTTTTTATGGAGGAAAATGAATCTGTTTCTAGAAGTATTGTTTCTGGCACAGATATCTATAGTGAATAATGAAAACAAATAGTGATACACAAATGATTTCTCTGTACTATATTAGTGTTAAGGATCTACTGTACTACAGTTATTCTCCACCTGTGTGAAGAAGAGGAGCCATTTCCTTCTGCCAAATTATAGAATATATTTAACAGTGTAATCCTGTTCTTTTCGTTCATTTGTTTATATAAAAATGTGAACATATGGTAAAGAAACTTGCATGTTGCATGGTTTTTAATTTTCTGTGTACTACCAGTCACTAAGATAAAGATACTGTTGTGATGGATATATACAAATACTCTGAAAAGCTGTTTCTGTGAAGACATTTGTTTGTGAAAAGGATATCCTTCTCTATCTTGTGAAGCACTTATTTATTTTTGCACATCAAAATATCTTTACATACAATTGCCTTAATTGCACATGTACACACACACCAACCTGATATGGTCTTACAGAAATCAACCTACCTTCTACAGTCAGCAATACTATACAGATCCAAGCCAGGTCCAACAGGCAGTGTTACTTAATGTGAAGTAATAATAAAGACTATTAAATGGTTTTTATTCATGTATTATGCTTTTTTTCAACAGCAGTTTTCTCTTTTTCATCCATCTTTTTCTCCTGATGGAAATCATTATGAAGCTTAAAGATAAAGTGTGTAAATCTGGCGCCAAACAGGGCTGCAAAAATAAATAACGACTGTTTCCAAACATACCAAAAGCCTCGGGCAGCATTTTTATTTCTTTGGGTATTTTTATTACTTATTATGTTCAATATTATTAAAGATTTGACCAATACATTTCATAATCAACGCACTGAATATTAAATTTTTTTTTTTTTTATTCAATGTATTGACAAGCTTAACTTTCAATGAAGAATTACTTAATGCTCAAAATGTGCAACAGGATAATTAATAATAGCTTTAGACTAGTTAATTAGGTTATGCTGAACTTTAAAGCAATCATATAATGGATAGAAAAATCCAATTTAGCCTATTAAAAAGCACTGTTGAAAAATGGGAACATTTGTTTTTTGGGGGAAATGTGAAAACATGTTTTCATATGAGATTTTTTCCCTTTCTTTTGCCTTACTAATCCCAGATAAATAAATCAAATCATGTGACTGCATTCTGTATCTGTTATTTTTCCTAATAATTTTTTTTATCAGTTTTAAGGTTTTAAGTCATGGGGACAATTGATTAATGAATTAATTAATCAATTAATTTATTTATTGGAAGAAATGCTATACTCATTTCTGCTTCAACAGATTTATTTAATGTCTATGTTTGTAGGAGTAGTATGGTAGCATTTTATCCTAAGCATATACATCTAGTGAAACAACTTCCTAATACAGCAAACCAAAACAAAACCAAGCACCTATGGGTACACAATGTCTCTCTGCTCTGTTATTTTCTCTAAATATTGTATTGAAGATATAGTAAATATAATTTTATTTTGTGTAGCACTTTGGACAAATTTCTCCTATTAGGAGCACTTTGAGAAAGATCTTGTTCATCATATCCAACACCCTGAATGAGGAGAAGACAATTGATTCTCAATGTTATTCATCCTTTTATTAAAGTTTTTGTATAGACATTCATCGGTGTGCAAGTCTGATATTGTGTTCAGAGTAAAACTGACTCCTCACAGGGAAGTATGATGGAACAAGAAAAAGAGCTGGACCATAAAGTAAACATCCTGAAGTTGAATGTGCAGGTATCTTACTCAAATAGCACTTTACTGTCACATTCATTCATTGAGACTTAAATTACTCTTGTAACAGACTTCTAGTTTCTTGAAACTTTCACTACAGTAGCTGCCTTTTTTTCAATAGGAAATAGAACAGAACATTCTGGTTTTGGCAGATCTGCAATATGAGTATGACTTAAAGAGCAAGTCTTCAAAGGGTCAAGGCGAGAGCAATATTAAGCATTTCTACTCTGAAAGAAAATAATGCATATCAAATGATAACGCACAGTTGTATTCAAAAGTGTACAACTGTTTTAACAAAATATTTAAGACCTAAATATTTGTGATTTATTTTGAAGAAATGTTTCATAGAGGACAGTTTAGTGGATATTATCATTCTTTATATTTTCGGTATAGGCTGACACAAAGGGCCACACAACAAAGGAGAGCCTACAGGAGGAAATGGTCATTGGACAAATGTTTACTGACCTAAACAAAAAAAGAGAGGTAGGTCAGTAAAGTTAGCTGCAAGTTAGGCCTCATGAATATTAATATCTGTAGGAATGTGGTCGATGTCGAGTTTTCCTCAGTAGCGTCTACAGATCTGTAATGTTATATTGAACAGTGGAAAAGGCAGCAAAGGGGTCGAGGCCATGCTGCGCTGCTTTAGAGAAGAGGAAGAGAAAACTAGAGGTGCACGTAAAAATCTATTCATATACGAATTGCGATTCTGTCTTCTAACGATTCTAATGGATTCACAAGTTTCAAAATCAATGTTCTAAAGCAGCGGTTCTTAATACTGTTCCTCGCATCCCCCTGCTCTGCACATGCTCTGCATCTCTCTCTCTCTCATTCAGATCATCAGCTCAGTGAATACACTTATTTTCACATACTATAGTTATGAGAAGCGTTATACATGGACGCGCGTGCGGTTGCCGAACTGTATTAAAGCTTTAATCAGAATAAAACCGTATATTAAAAGCTAACAGAAGCAGTAGCATTTACAAATAACAGCGTATCTAAAAGTATGAGACAAATCAGAGCCCATCGTGTATTTCTGAGGGAGGGGCTTCATAAAAGAAGGAAATTATCAGGGTGTTTCTCAGAGAAGGGACAGATCGGTGTGGAATAAAGGTAAATTATGTGAAAAATAATGCGTTTTTTTTTTTTAACGAAGCAACACATGTTAGAATGCACCCTATAAACACAATCAAGCCTAGAAAAAACCCAGTGAACCACCCCTTTAATGTCTGGAGCAGCTGCAAAGATGGTGAGAACCTTTAGCAGGCGCTGTTTGTGCCATAAATTACCCATAATATTTCCCGGGCAGAAAATAATGACAAACAAAACACAGCAATTATTATATAGTGCTACTGTTTTTTTTGTTTTTTGTTTTTTTTTCATTTATTCACTTTTTTGTATCACGATTTAATCACTCGAATGTTTTGAAAAAGGTGAATTTCTAAAGGACATCCCTGTCCAAAAATGAGTCACTCTTTTCAATATAATGACACTGACTGGGCTGCCAAGCTCCAAAATTACAAAGAGTATCATAACAGTAGTCTGTATGACTCGTGCCCTTTATTCCAAGTCTTCATAAGTAAGATTATAGCGTTATGTAAGGAACTGACTGAAATTGAGTCGTTATATTCACTGAAAATCTGCCGTAGATCTAGGCGCATCGATAATCGCAGGAAAGTAGCGGTAAATGGATCGTTCTTCGTTTGATTCTTTTTAATGATTCAATTCACATAACCGAACTGGGCTTCGTTTCCAAAAAGCATCGTGATGGTACGAGAGACTATACTGTTGCCATGATTCATGATTCATTCAGTAATCGCACTAATTCGGCTCTCAACCGACTCCGGTTTGTAACATCATGCGTTCAAATGACTTAAATATTATAAGTTTAAATATTTGTTTCATTCCATGAAAGTGTTTCCAAATCATGTTCGGATTAGAACGGTAGTCCAGAAATGAAATGAATTCATACATTTGTGTGTCTTTGTAAATGGTTATCTGTGAATAGACATAGACTCGGTCTTTTATTCACTAATTAAAAGTCTGATAAGATTATGCGTGTGTACCAGACTGATGCTGGATTGTATACAGAGACTCTGCTTGCATTAATTTTCATTATTTATATATTTGTGGCCCAGAACAACATGTTGCCTTGTGTCTATGATTGGGTGAATTAAGGGATGTATTCAGAGTTTGAAATTAAAGGTACAATAGGAGATCTTGGAAAATGCTAACTTTAGCCTGATAGCACTGAAAGCGAACGTCTCACCCTTCCTGCAATCGCCGTCCAAAGCCACGCCCCCTGAACGCATTTACACTCACAGACCAGAGGCAACATTACTACAATAGGCTACATTTTAAAAGTACTACAATACCAGGAAGAAAGATCGGCTTGTTGATGTTTGCCTGCCATCCTCGCTCTGTCTGCACAGCGTGCGTGAACGCGCTGATGAGTATCCTGTCCAGTGTTGCCAAACCCCTCCCTCAGAAAATCGCTAGAACCACCGTCAAAAGTCTCCATTTTTCACAAAAAGTCGCCAAATATGAAAACAAAGTAAATACAGGTACATTTGGTAAAGGTAAAAGAAAGTAAATATACATATACACTTTACAAATGAAAATCTCCAAAAAAATCGCTAGTTTTATTTAAATATAGCTAAAATAGCTCCTTGTCGCAAAAAATAATAAAAAGTCGCAGCTACAATGAGAAAGCTAAATTTGGCGACAAAATCCCCAAATTGGCAACACTGATCCTGTCTGCGCGAACTGGGTGCCCAGAGGTATGCTAATACATACGTTGACAGGCAGGTAGGAAAGCATATTAAAACGCTTGGACCGAACGTTTTGATTAGACGAACATTTCTTGATCCTACACCTTCCACAGAATATATAAATACAGACAAATACATTTAGACCACTTAACTTAATGATTGCTATCGGGATGTGAAGAGACTTTCAACCAGCATAACAAAAAATGTTTCTGAAGACAATCACCTATTGCACCTTTAACATCCGCCAACCCGCCAAATGCGGGTAAAAATCAGCTGTGGCGGGTAACGCTGTCAAATCACTAGCCAATTTGGCTGGTTACTTTTCGTAAATTATGTTTACTAATTAATTTCTTTAGGAAGTTCATGTAAGCCATGTCATGATATATTAAATAAGCCTAATTGCGCAGCATCTGGGCATCTAGCTTACTTGAACATACCCAGCGATGTAGCTACTGGCCACCGGGAGCACCGGGACATTCCCGGTGGGTCGATCGCCGAAGCGAGGGAGACCTCATATTAGGCGCGGTTTTTAAATTACAGCCCACGCGAAACTGCAAAAAGCAAGTACTCCAAAAGTGTGCAGCGGTGCTACCCGGTGCATCCGCCAGCCACGCGATAAAGCAGAGCGGGATCAGTCTCCCGCACAGCGCTGCGCTTCCGCCACGATTTATAAGAGATAAACAGCGCAAATCGCTCGATCCATTCAGAAATGACACAGAATTGTGTTATACAGTTGTGTGATATGACAACATTAAAGGTTCTGCCTGAAAACAGCCACGACCAGGTAAAATGCATGTAAACAAACTGCAATGTAAACAAACTTTAATAGCTTATTTATCTTTAAATGTTTCATTCTAATTAATTTTAAGTAAAATGTTAATTCAGTAAGAGCCTGATTAAAGATAAAAACCAGTGTCTCTGTAATTTAGAGACACTTATAAATGAGGTGTTTTCCATTTACAAATAGTATAAAGTTCTTAAAGGGATAGTTCACACAAAAATTAAAACTGTCATCATTTAGGCTACTCAGCCTTACCGCCGGCCTTTTTTTCATAATTTATTAGTTTTTTTTTTTTGGCTAGTAGAAATTATGAATGGCCGGTAACTTAAAAATTTAGTAGCCAAATTGGCTGGTGAGTGAAAAAGTTAATTTCAAACCCTGGATGTATTGTTATTATGATCTAATTGCGCTCCAGGTTCACAGCAGTGGCAGAGTGTCTGCAGCAGGTCCGTCAGCAGCTGAAGAAAATTCAGGAATTGGTGCAGAAATTCACCTACAACAACGACCCCCTCACTCTGGGCAAGAGCCAGCTGGATGAGCAGGCCCTTTCACTCTTCAAAAACCTTATATTAAAGTGAGACACAACACCTTAACCGTTCATACCTTTCGGTGTCTCTATACGTAGAGCACAAGCTGTAGAAAGAAAAACATTTGTTTTTTGATTGAAGGATTTGTGGGTTCACGGGGGAATTTGAATATATTTTGTGGTGTGTCACTTCTGAAAGATTACAGGACATGAAATCTGTTGTGATGTGACTTTCAGTTCTCTTGTGGTGGAGAGACAGCCTTGTATACTGTGGCATCCCCGGAGACCCTTGGTGTTGAAAATGGGAGTTCAGTTCTCAGTCAAGATCAGGTGGGTTTTACATTATTGTTATATCAACACACACTGTAATGGCACTCTACCTAATAGTGATTATCATTGCTTTAATTGTGCTTTATGATACTATAGACTACTAGTCAAACTCCCTGAACTGAACTCTCAACCCAAGGTCAAAATCTATATCGACAAGTAAGTAAACATCTATGCATGTATGTACAGTATGTATGTATCTGTCTGTCTGTCTCTATCAAATGTTTCTGAATAGTTTAAATTATTTAGCTTTTCTGAAATGGATACATTGAAAGGGTAGGTAACATATTACATTACCACAAAGAGCACAAATAAATGCTAATTACAATTACTGAATTACCATTCCTCACAGCTCATAATTAAAAATACATATATAGAGCAATACATTTAGTTTTTGTATGCATGTCACAGGTCCTCACTGATGCAGTGGCTTGTGTAATCTCCTAGATTTAGGAAATTCCTTCTCTTAGGTAATGTTAACAAAGTTATGAACTTGGATGAATAGTGGATGCCTAGCAGCTGAGTTCCGTCATGTGGTATGATGATAAACACTGAGATATTACAACAGATAAGAAATATATGATCATTTATAATTACCGACTTCATTTTTCTTGATTTCCCCTTCTAATTAACACAGGCCAAAAGGGAGAAGAGACCTAGCAACAGAAATAAAGAGGTAGGACAAAATAATAAGTAAAAGTCACCTAAAACTACCAATTATTGCTATGTAAGTGGCTTTCTTTTTTCCCAGTTGTCTCTCAGTGTGTATGAGGAGCTGCACTTAATCAGCTTTGACACGCAGCTCGTTCTGCCTGAACTATGTGTTGATTTATCGGTAAAGTTACAGGTACAGTATTTATTTGAGACAAAGGTACAGCATGAAACTCTTGTAACTGCAACATCAGATCTTATGTTCAAACAGATCACATGTCTTCCTGTGGTGGTGTTGGTCAGTGGTATATCTCGGTTATCTAGTGAAAAAATGTTCAGGTCATGAAGCCCAAGGTGACCATGAAGGACTCATCCACTGGAATACCTTTTTTAAAGTGAGTTTAGACAAATGATTGAAACAAAGACAGGAAAGTTGCTTTCGCTTTCTTTAACAACCTCACATTTGTGTGTTCCTCTGCTGTCACCACATGATTTACTGCTAAAACAAAACGTAGTGAGAACACAATACTGCAAAGAGCAGACATTAACTAAATGCTTTTATAGTATATGTGATGCTTTGTGATGAGAAATAACATGATAAATGACAAGGTGAAGCAATCGTTTCTCTATCACAATATATTGCGTAGAATAACTTTTGTGTTTTCATCTAGACGTCTACGGAGTCTGGTGATTCACTCTGGCAATGGATATATGAACATTTGGAACTTACTGAAAAATATGTGCTCAACATCTGGAATGACGGGTAAGAAATCTGAAGGGGTTAAACCCTTACCATCTAAATGTTGCTCTTGTGTCATTCATGCGAAAGCCAACGCCATGGAAGATTTTCAAAGAGTTAGAAATTTGAGAGGGGGCTTAAATTTCAGGCTGCACGCAAAGCTGTTGTATGGCTTCCGAGTCTTCTGACTCGAGTCCATGTGACTACTTTGATATAAACATTTATTATGTACAGGTACATTATGAGGTTTTTGAGTAAGGAGAGCGAGAGAGGGCTTTGTTGAGAGACAAACTCCCAGGCACTTTCCTTCTGCGCTTCAGTGAAAACTCTCGATGTGGAGGATTCATCATCTCATGGGTGGAGCGTTCACAGAATGGTTTGTGCTGGTTTGAACTGGAATATTTTATGTTGTGATAAATATATTGGTGTGTCTGAAAAATCTCTTAGGAGATTATCATGTCAGCACAGATGAACCTGTAGTACATTCAACAGAGCCCTACAGTAAAGTAGATCTGAACAGAATCTCTTTACCGAACATCATCCGTGACTATACCGTCACTGATGGAGAGAAGGATCCAGTGAATCCCCTCATCTACCTTTACCCAGACATCCTAAGAGATGTTGCCTTTGGTCGCTACTATACCACTGCATCTGATGGTAAAGACTTTTACATTCACATTTATGCACTTCATATTTGTAATGTGCCATTATTGACCATTGCTCTCCCACTTGACTTGCATAGGAAAGAAAATAAGATAAGAGTTTAACCATGAGACCGTAGTTTCACTAAGCCAACAGTTCAGTCCATCCTGTCAGGAAACTGATAACAAGCAGAGGAAACAAAGCACAAAAAAAAATCACCAAATAGAATGATTTTACAATAAAAAGCAACATCTAATAATTCTCTGAACAACTTTGCGTCTGTTCTGAGACTCTTATATGTTTGTGTTTTTGTCCTGGTATTTGCACACCATCAGGACATTTGCAATACAGTTAAATTATATTCTCTTTTAGCTCTAGGAGGGATGAATGAAGACAGACTTTCTGGTTTGAAAATCCAAGATGGTACAACAGCATGTCAATGAAGACCACGGGTTGGACATGATCGTATGTGTTCTGTCAGACTCCTCTGATTTAGAGGATTTAGGCTTTGAACTGGTAGAGAATGTGGGTAGAAATACAAAGGTCATAGGTTGGATTCCCAGAGAACTGATCAAATGTATACCTTGAATGCATCGTAAGTTGTTTAGAATAAAATACTTGTAGGAAAATAATCTTGCTATTGTGCTAGACATGCCTCACTGTTACTGTTGCACATGGATAATATTTCGGTGTATAAATCATACTGCACTATTTCAGCTATGAACATGACTTGTGCTGATTGTTGAGATTATAGTGATATTACTGAACTGAAATCAGGTTAACATTTTTTTCTAGTCAGAATTTGTGTTGCATGTAGTTTTGTGCACTGTATGTATAATGTACGAGTAAAATTACACCCTTTTAACTACTAACACAATTTTATTCATTATTGCACATCAAAGATGAATCTTTATATACCATTGCTTTAATAGCACATGTACACACACCGACTTGAGTCAGCCAGCTTGATGTGGAGAACTCATCATCTCATGGGTGGAGCGTTCACAGGATGGTTTGTGCTGGTTTGAACTGGAATATTTTATGTTGTGATAAATATATTGGTGTGTCTGAAAAATCTCTTAGGAGATTATCATGTCAGCACAGATGAACCTGTAGTACATTCAACAGAGCCCTACAGTAAAGTAGATCTGAACAGAATCTCTTTACCGAACATCATCCGTGACTATACCGTCACTGATGGAGAGAAGGATCCAGTGAATCCCCTCATCTACCTTTACCCAGACATCCTAAGAGATGTTGCCTTTGGTCGCTACTATACCACTGCATCTGATGGTAAAGACTTTTACATTCACATTTATGCACTTCATATTTGTAATGTGCCATTATTGACCATTGCTCTCCCACTTGACTTGCATAGGAAAGAAAATAAGATAAGAGTTTAACCATGAGACCGTAGTTTCACTAAGCCAACAGTTCAGTCCATCCTGTCAGGAAACTGATAACAAGCAAAGGAAACAAAGCACAAAAAAAAATCACCAAATAGAATGATTTTACAATAAAAAGCAACATCTAATAATTCTCTGAACAACTTTGCGTCTGTTCTGAGACTCTTATATGTTTGTGTTTTTGTCCTGGTATTTGCACACCATCAGGACATTTGCAATACAGTTAAATTATATTCTCTTTTAGCTCTAGGAGGGATGAATGAAGACAGACTTTCTGGTTTGAAAATCCAAGATGGTACAACAGCATGTCAATGAAGACCACGGGTTGGACATGATCGTATGTGTTCTGTCAGACTCCTCTGATTTAGAGGATTTAGGCTTTGAACTGGTAGAGAATGTGGGTAGAAATACAAAGGTCATAGGTTGGATTCCCAGAGAACTGATCAAATGTATACCTTGAATGCATCGTAAGTTGTTTAGAATAAAATACTTGTAGGAAAATAATCTTGCTATTGTGCTAGACATGCCTCACTGTTACTGTTGCACATGGATAATATTTCGGTGTATAAATCATACTGCACTATTTCAGCTATGAACATGACTTGTGCTGATTGTTGAGATTATAGTGATATTACTGAACTGAAATCAGGTTAACATTTTTTTCTAGTCAGAATTTGTGTTGCATGTAGTTTTGTGCACTGTATGTATAATGTACGAGTAAAATTACACCCTTTTAACTACTAACACAATTTTATTCATTATTGCACATCAAAGATGAATCTTTATATACCATTGCTTTAATAGCACATGTACACACACCGACTTGAGTCAGCCAGATACAGTCTAATAGAAATCAGCAAGAAATATCTGCTTCAATGAATACTGAATAGTGCTAAAGTGTCTTTAAAATAGTTTACATTCATTTACTTTGACATGAACTTAATTTTTGTCCAACTAACTGACTTCAAGTGTTTGGTCCGGGTGAACAGGTTTGACATCGTCTTTCCACTGCTAAAACAACTGTCTTACAATAGAAACTACACGTACAGTCATTTAACACTTCATAAAATATACCTATATGCACAGATGCAGTGCAAATAATGAGTATTTCTAAATAAAGGAGTTTTGAATTGTATCCGATAATGATTAAGCTGGTGTTGTCGATTTAAATTAAAAATTGTTTATAATGTGATTTTTTTTTTTTTATAACTTCCATCTTCCCGTCATCCAGTAAACTTTGATTTGTGATCGCTTTTGTTCTCAGATTACATTGTGTACTTTCTCAAAATTCATTCATTTTGGGGCGTGTAAATATTAAAATATGAGTGCACTGAAGAATATATAGTCCATCTATCTGATAATACAGTAAAGACTAACAAAAATAGCTGTCTCTGGCAGTGGTATAATAAAATAAAAGTGATATTAAGATAATGCATGCAAACTTAAAAATAATTCCCAATTTTACGCAGGACGTTCTAGCATTTCTGATCTTTAATAATCGGCATTCGTGGCAACACTCGACCGATTGTTTGGTAATGGAAATGCAATAGACTTGCAACTCGCGTCTCGCTTTGCATTCCGTTTTTTTTTTAAGACAACATAAAGGAGGAAGATATGTTGGCCAGCAGCTTTTGTAAGTCGTGAGCGTTTGCGCAACCTTACCAAATCTCGCCGTTTTTAATGCAAGAACGCGTCCTGTCTAAACAGGATTGTTTGGTTTCATTTGATACTCTTGAGTTTAGCTGTTTGCCCTCAGGAAAACAGCAACAGCGCTGTAGTCATCATTCCCCACACCTCGATCAACCTTTCACAGGCACGAAAACATACAATTATAGTGTCTTTTGAGAGTCGTTTCGCACCGTTAAATATGGCCATCATCATGACACACCCTTTCTTGTAAGGAAGAAGTTGTTGAACAAGCCAAAAATGTCGCACAAAAGCATGTAAAACTACAGGACACAACTTCAAACGAAAAAAATGTACTGACAAAAAAAAACGTTTTCAACAAAACAAAACGAAAAAAAAACACGCACACTGATCTTGAGAAGGGGCAGTGCTTCACTGGGCTGTTCCAGAAGAGTGTCCTGTACTGTTTGTGGAAATGGTTATGTCTCCAGCATCCCATCCAGGTGTTTTTCGGTGCTCTCTTTATCTGCGCCAGCGTTCACCGGTGGGTTGTATTTACTGTTGTACTCCTGTAGAAGCGCGAGCACCTCGTGATGACCAAAGTGTGTCGCCTCATCTATAGGTGTATTGCCCCACCTAGAGGACATAATTTATTATTATTATTTTATTGTTTCCACATCTTTTCTGTAACTCTTCCAGTCGTTTGATAACTGTTTGATAATAATAATAATAACTATTAATATTATTAACGTTAAGACAGACGTATGTTACTATTGCAATTCAACTATAAAAGGACTATTTAAAAACAATTATTTACTTTACAACAGTAAATCAAAACTTCTATAATTTCTACAATGTAAAAGATTTATCATTTAAAAGTGTAAAAATATATTTTTGTATTATATAAATTATAAAATATTATAAAATTATAACTTTATAAAAATTATTTTAAAAATCAATCTCTCTGTCCCCGTTTTATTATTACAATAACAATATAAATCATTTACATATCCAATATATTATACTTGATTTATATTTTAAATGACATAAAATATCCTGTACCCATCTGCCTGAGTGGTGTTATGTGTGTATATATAAAACACATACAATTAAAAAGTATTTATATGTATTTAAATATATTTCTTAATGTAATAGTATATGAAATTTGATATAAAAATGCATTTTAAGTAATTTAAGTAATACACACATTGCACTCACAAAGAGAAAGTTCTACCTGATTCTTGTTAGAAATCAATTCCGGTGGCTTGTACTTGACTTTTTAGGATGTTATCAACATCTAATTAAAATGTCAAATGCTGAAAAGTTTTCCAAGACCTCATGGGACACCTGATGTCTTACAATCACATCATTTCTAAATAAAAGAGGCTAAAAAATTTATATTTACTCTAAAATCAAAAGTGTTTGTTCACCTGTCCTTGGGACCAGGATTCACCTTGCAGGCCTCTAACAGAAAACGCACAACCTCAGTATGTCCTAAAATCAAAAGGAATAGCTTTATTCATACAACACATACCATGGATTTAAGTTTAGATGTAAATCGGCAGTGTATTGAAAAGCAGCATGAAATAAAGATCTGGATAATTTCCCAGCAATATAGTATTTGAGGACTTATATTTATAGTGATTAAACTAGAAATAAAATACATAAATACAAAATATAGCTGCAATAAATATACACATTGTAAATTTGGGCAGCATTGCTATTGCCATTATTTAAAACATTACCACTTTTGACCACCAATTGGCGCTGTTACCAAACTTAAGTGGCATTTAAAGCAGCACTATGTAACTTTTTAAAAAGTGTTCAAAATGTATATAATGAGCGAGTACATCATGAATTCATCTTCCAAACCGCGTTTTTGTCTTATTCCGAATCACTACGGTACACTTATAATAAGTACTTATATTTGGACTATTGTAGCCTGGTCGGGTCATCACCGCTGCGGAGTAACACATACCTGCGTGAATCGCCATAGACATAAACTTAGAGAAGTAGCTCCGGTTGAAATGTTCTTCCGCGGGATGTGTGCAGTTCTGTTTATTAACCGCTAAAGCGCCAAAAGTTACATAGTGCTGCTTTAAAGCATAGTGACAATGACATGCACATTTTGAGTCAAAATGCAAAAGCAAAACACAGCATTACTTTCTATCATCTTTTTTGTTATCCTTCAGTTCATTGACTACCAGCCATAAGGCAAACAATCAGATACCAAATTAACAGACACCACTGGTTCTTGGCCCCTAATAAGTGACAAACTAAAGTGTCGGCGTGTGCAACTTTGTACCCTCAGCGGCTGCTATGTGCAGCGCCGTCCTGGAGTCATAGTCCTGCTGCTCCATGTCCACAGAGGACAGTGCAAACCTGCAGTCATGTATAATGAAAACGTTATAGAAGCAGAACAGAAAACGCTTCAAAAACTTGTAGGCAATGAATAACTCAATACCTTCTGAGAGCAGAAACATCTCCTGTGTAGGCAGCAAAGAGGAGGTTGATGACAGATTTCACCTGGAATGATAGAAAAGAGCCTTTGTGGAATAGAAATAAGTTATTATGGTCAGATGGTGGGCAGAAACGGAGGCCTCCAGAGTGTCTCCTTTAGCTCTAGCAGACAGAAATGAATAGAGAACAGCTGAGAGGAAACACCAAACAGACAATGAAAAATGTAATCAAGTGCATTGAAATATGAACACTTGAATTCAAGGGGCACCTAAATTCAACTTCTTTCAGGTGGATTGAACGAAAGGGAAAGGGATCCCCTCCTTCATACAGTAAAACTGAAGGTTGCATTTTAAGTCTGCCATTTAATGTGTATAGGCTTATATTTGATATTTTATAGACCGGGTTCCCACACCTTCTAAGAAAAAAAAAATGTCCATGACTTTCCAGTTTTTTATGTATAGACCTAATGTGGAATGGACAATGAACCATTCAGCTGAAGTTTCACTTTCTTAACTTGTTGGAAGTTAAATTAATATTGCATTTTTTAGCATCAAACAATGAATGGCAGAGCCCATGCAACACACTGTATTAAAGATCCTTGCCTCAGCATCTGATTGTATAAATTAGCAAAGCAAGCAATGCAAAAAACACTAATGCATTTTGCTACGATGCAAAAAATGCTGTTAAAGGCAGGGTATGTGATTTTTCGAAAACACTTTAGAAAACTGATTCGCAATTTATTTAGCGGTGTTTCTAACAAACGATGGATCATAAGGAAAAGCTAGCCAAACACTTATTTTACAATGAAGCACAACAGAAGGCAGCAGAGCTACAATGGATGGCAGTTCCCAGTTCACATATCGTGCAATACACTCACAAAAAACAACTTCTATAGGTGAAAAAATATTTTATATAAATATAATAAAAAGGAACATCTTATAATAATAATAATAATAATAAAAAAATAACAATATCAGGACTTCTCAGTCCTGTGAGAAAAAAAAAACTTTAAATAAATAAATCATAATTTTAAAATTTTCTGCAACTTTCATGTTTTCCTTGAACATTGGAATCCTTTCATAGAGATATTTTTTGTTGTTACTGTGGTTTTCATGTAAGCTGTAGTCAAACAGGCCTTTTTAAGTAAAGCTGTCAATTAAGCAATCAAGAATGTTTTTTTGAGACCAATAGTGTCAGAACACAAACTAATAAAATGAACATGTTCCTTCATCATTTTCCAACACACACACACACACACACACACACGTCTGGTTTGCTATCCGTGTGGGGACTCTCCATAGGCGTAATGGTTTTTCTACTGTACAGACCTTATATTCTATTGCCCTACACCAACCCTACACCTAAACCTACCCCTCACAGGAAACTTTCTGCATTTTTAGATTTTCAAAAAACTTCATTCTGTGTGATTTATTAGCTTGTTTACCCGTGGGGACCTCAATTTAGGTCCCCACCATGACACGAGTCCCCATGAGTCTGTGTGTAGTCAGGTTTAAGTC